ATTTTTTTAAATCAATTAAATTGAATTTCTTCATCTTTTTTTAATAAAAAAATTTAAATTATTTTTCTTTTATTTCTACATCGAAGTCATAGAAAAAAATATTAAAAAAGAAAAATAAATTAACTAAGTTATTTTAAAGTTCCTGTGTAAAGTCAGAGTGAGTTAGGGCTGGTCCTGTATCTCAGTCTCCACCTCTACCTCCGTTCTTCAGTCTCTGAGCTAAAGGGCCAATAAAAACCCTTTTTACTGATTATTTCTTTATAATTTATTTCTTTTTCCATCTCTCTTCTAGAAGTCATTTGTTTTCTTGCTATGTGTAATTATCTGCAGTATTTATTAAGTAGTTATCGTAGGTTTTTGGAACCAATTCTAGGAATTACAGAGTATTCTGATGGAAGATTTGAACCAACACACCAATATTTAACACAGAAATCGCTCCTGGAACCAGTTAAACTGTTATAGAGGTTCTGCTGTATTCAGATTTTTTTCCCCGGACATTTCTAAGCGTTTGAATGCTGCATCTAGAATACAACGAGGCAAATTAATGACACCCATTAAGTTAACTGCCAGAGATCATTCAGGTGATCCATTTGACCAACAGACTAATTGCGTCGTGAGGTTTCAGCGACAGGAAATGAGCCGTTTAATAAGTTAAATATGCTGCGATTGATTTCATCGCGCTGGAACGTTTTCCTGGCAGTAAAAGCCCGTCGGATCATTTAAAAAATGTCATTCCTGCTTTAATCAAACACTTAGTGGCATCATTACAGCTTTCTATAGTTCAGCCAGAGCAAATCCTGGAGCTAAAACTCCCAAATCCATCCTAACTGGGCTATTTAGATCCTTTTTCAAAGGAACTGGGTGTGAATAAAATCAGCCTTTTGCACATTTAAAAGGCATTTTTGGAAGAATTTAACCCAAAACAGGGTTCTGAATCGTTTAAGATGGAAAAGTTTAAGATGGAAAGAAGCAGCTGCAGAAACAGGACAAACACTGTTAGCTAAGTTGTTCTGAATATTTAATGCCTGGGCAGTAAAGTGTTTAAAACATTTTAAAAACGTTGAATCATTCATAACTATCTGGTTCCTGGTTTTGTTGATCAATATTCATAACTTAGGGGGAGATTCTGCTCGAGTGGATCCCAGTTCCACGATTTCTTCTTCCCACCGTTTGACCCAACTCTTTATTTTTAACTAGATGCCATTTTATCTTTTAGGGATCCATTATTTTTAATCATTTAGCCACCAAACGTAGCCGAGTTTTCTATGATTTCCAGCATAAATGGACCCTTGCTACTGGAAAATGTGTTAACTTATTAGTAATTAAAGTAAAATAGAAAGAAAATACATACATTTTTACACAATAAATATTAGTAGTACAATAAATAAGAGGCACACATGACTTTTCAGAGGTTTCTGTCTGCATCCAACGTCAAAAACTGCTCATAATCCAACTTTGTCCTTTTTTATGGTTATTTTAAATGATCAGGTAACAACCAACTATTCATATCCAGCAGAACCTCTATTATGAAGCCTAAACAAACAAATTTACCAACATACAAAGTGAAATTTGATCAAATATTCAACTCGATACCCAAGTCAATTTTGAAGTTTAAAAAAAATTAATTGTCGAAGTCATAAATGGACCCTTGCTGCTGGAAAATGTGTTAACTTATTAGTAATTGGAGGAAAATAGAAAGAAAATACATTCATTTTTATGCAATAAATATTAGTATTACAAACAAATAAAGATGAAGAAACAGTTACTTCTAGTGTTAACTTGTATAAATAATCAGCTCCTTTTCTTTACACAGTATTTTGTTTAATTAGACAGAATAATTGGTTGTAGCCATGCAGAAGGGAAGTGTGTATTATGTGGTCTTTACCTCCATCTACTGGTCATCAGCAGATGGAAATGGCTTCACTTTTCACTGTTGATAGCTTTCAAAATGAATTTGGTGGAAAAAAGGGAGCATAAAAGCCTAAAATGATCATATTTCTGCGCTGGTTGGTTTATAAATTCACTCTGCAACATCGCGTTGTTTCCATACTGTGCAAACAACAGGTTTTCTTTTATATTTCCAGCAGAAAAAAGGCCCCTAACTCAAGGGATGAGCCAGTGTTGTGTCCACACTGAACAGACTACTTAGCAAAGAAGCTGTTTAAATGGGATCTTTAATTAAATTGTTTCTGATCAGGTATGTTTTACCAGAATAATATTTTCTGCTGCTATGAAAGATGTCGCTTTAACATGTTTGTGTTGTGTATTATTGTAATTTTGGGAGTTTCCTAGTACAGCTTTTTACATTTTCTGTTTAATTCAATGTACTGTGGAAGGATCCTGATGACATCACTCATGGTAAGTCATGTATTTATACTTTACTTTTTAATTGGAACATGTTGGTGGAACACATAAACATGACAGTAATGCTTACAAAAACACAATTTTCTGAGGAAAAAGCTCTCAGGAGCTGACCTTTTTATTCGCTAACAGCTTAGCGGCGTTTTACACAAACCAAAAGATAGACACACAATCTTTAACAGCCGCGGCTGTTTTTACGCAGTATTTCTGTTATATTCAGTAAATTCACACAGTCCAGATGTTCAGAGAATCCCAAAAGTCTGGAACTTACCTCGTTTGTGGATTTATTATTCTAGGTGTGTGTCCTCCTGTTTCTGCTCAGATTTAGTCCACATGCTTCCTGCTTTCATTCAGTTTCTGACCCACTGTGGGAGCTATGGGACGTTTAGATGCTTGTTTTAGGGTCATTTCAGCCTAGTTTTTTTTACTTTTTTGCTGCATCTTTGGTAATTTATAACTTTTTGGGAGTGTTTTTAGCTTTATTTTAACTTTGTTTGTTGTATTTTTGGTAACTTTTTTGCATATTTTTACTTTATTTGCTGTATTTTGGGTAACTTCAGCCTCGTTTTTGCCTTTTTTGCTGCATCTTTGGGGACTTTTTAGCTTTATTTTAACTTTTTGATGTGTATTTTCGGTCATTTTTTAGCCTATTTTTACTTTTATTTGCTGTATTTTGGGTAATTTCAGCCTCGTTTTTGCCTTTTTTGCTGCATCTTTGGGGTCTTTTTAGCTTTATTTTAACTTTGTTTGTTGTATTTTTGGTAACTTTTTAGCATATTTTTACTTTCTTTGCTGTATTTTGGGTAACTTCAGCCTCGTTTTTGCCTTTTTTGCTGCATCTTTGGGGACTTTTTAGCTTTATTTTAACTTTTTGATGTGTATTTTCGGTCATTTTTTAGCCTATTTTTACTTTTTTTTGCTTTATTTTGGGTAATTTCAGCCTCATTTTTTCCTTTTTGCTGCATCTTTGGGGTCTTTTTTGCTTTATTTGAACTTTTTGGTTGTGTTTTTGTTAATTTTTTTGCATATTTTTACTTTCTTTGCTGTATTTTGGGTCATTTTAAGCCTTGTTTTTGCTTGAAAAGCTTGAATCAGAGAGGATCCATCCCTCCATCAGACCTGGTGTTCAGTTCTGGCTCCTTTGGCAGAGCTCAGCTCTCCTCCTGTCTCCTTCCTTCATGGAGAGCATTTCTGATTCAGCCTCCAGGAGCTGATCTGCTGGATCTGCTCCTCTTTCTGATCTCTTTCAGGTCCTCTTCATCTGCTGGATCACAGAGTTTTTCAGGCCCAGCTCTTCTTCTTCTTCTGTCCTCTGGTCCAGTTTCCTGATGTTTTCAGGACTTTGCTCACCAGCTGAGATCTGCCCAGTTTCAGCTCTTTGGGAATCAGCTTGTCTTTGGTATTTTTCAGACACAACCTGGTTTATTCTTTGAGTTAGATTACAAGAAACCCAGTCTTCAATTCTGTTAAGAAGATAATATGATGTGTTTACATCGTAAAAATGTCTGACTGGCCTGCCAGAAACAAAATAACTACATGTATCATCTTTGTTTTTTAATAGAAAATTAAAGAAATGTGTCTGAGGGCAGAATTTGTTACAAATTATTCAGCAATATTATCTGTAAGTAGTAAACCGATGCTAATTTGGATATAAATCAGGGACATTTTCAGGCTTTGACCTGAAAATGAACCACAAAGCCAATAGACAATTTACCCCTCAGCAAATGTAAAGGAATGGGGATAAATCTAGCACATTCTCCTTGGTCAATAGTGTGAAAACGTTTGTTTTAAAATGGCTCAAATGAAAAATCTAGGCAGAAGTTTTGGACCTGACAGGTGCATTGTGGGAAATGGAGTCCTTCTCGGGGCCGATGCTCGGGGGGAGGAGAGGCTCCAGCCTCCGCTCGTAGATGTGAGTGTACGGGGAGGAATTCAGCCGCTTGGAGGACTTTTCTTAGCGGTCAAAACTCTTTATTTCTGCGGGTAAACGCCGAGTCCTGGACCGGACAACGAGGACAAATGCGAAAATGCGAGAAAAAGTCCAGGAAGAGAGTGTTCGCGAGTTAAAAACCCCGCGAAGGAGGACAAACATTACGGCCCTTTCGGATGACTTGTGATGATAAAAACTACAACTAACGGGCTTCAGACACCGTTGAATGGGGGTGAATCGAGGCGGATTTTTTCTCGGGGAAACTGCGAACCAGAAGGATTTCCAAGCGGCCGAAGCCCGGAGGGAAAGGGGAGGAGAGGAGAAACGCCCTGCTGCCTGTTGCTGCTGTCTCCAAACCCAAACTTTATCTCCGAGTTTGGGGTAAAAAAAAAAAAGATGCGACCTCCGCTAAAACGGGAGGGGGATTTTTAGAACGTTGCTCGGATTCGAATTGTAACCGTTAGCCTAGCGCGAGCGCGCACGTTAGGGCGACTTTTTTTTTTTTTTTTTAACGGTTTTTTTTTTCTTTCTTCTTCTTCTTCCATTTGGCTCCTCGTTCTGCTCGGTGTTCCTGCCGGGAGCCGTTTCGGTGGGCTAGGCCCACGGCCATTAGCCCAGGAACAAAGAGGGCTCCCTATGTAAAAGTCCAAACAGTTTTTTTTCTCTCTATCTCTCTCTCTCTCTCCGTTTCCCCAAACCGACCGCAGCCATGTCGCTGGGAGCCGAGAGGAGGATGGAAAACCGGCTGAAGAAGCTGGAGGACATGATCCGAGACCCCAGGTCTGCCGTAAACCTGGAAAGTTTGCTGGTGAGTTTTTAATGGGAGACACCTCATGGATTATTAAAGACGTTTATCTGTTTCCCCCGAAACGTAATATGCACACCGCTGGGTAACGTTAGCGGCTACAACCGTTCCCCGTTTCTTGTATAAACATCCCAATAATATTAGCTCCAGCGGGCTGTTAGCATTGTTTTGTTTTTTTCTTCCGAGCTGTGAAAAGTTTCGCGACTTTTCAGTTTAATGAAAACTCAGTGTGCTCCTTATTAACTGGGAATATTACAGCGACTTTTCAGTTTAATGATAAGTTGCTGTGATATTCCCAGTTAATAAGGAGCTGGACTCTGTGGAGGATTTTGAGACGGGCCTGATTAATAGTTAAGACGGTGTGCAGACGGGGCAGTTTGGGGCTCTTTGAAGCGTGTCTGCAGATTAGGATTAACCAAAGGAGAATGTCCTTCATGCTATGCTCATGGAGACTAATATTTCCGGCCAAACTCCCGCCTGGGCAGCCGTAGGGACAGCCAATCCACTTTAAACCTCCACATACCGCCGACTTCCTCACGGGAGGACATCCACCCTCACCCTTTCCAACTTTTATGCACTTTAAAAAGCACATTTATTTATGTTTTTAAAACCTAAAGACATAATCCCCACATCACCAGACGCCTTAAAGTATGTTTTGGAACTATTGTCTCTTAAAGTAAATGATCTTAAATTAAATCATTTCTGGTTTTTACATAAATATGTATATATTATCATTAATCCACTGCAAAAAAGCCTGTTTATTTAGCTTTCTTTGCTCTTATATAAGGAAAATAACTATTTGCTTCTACTGTATCTCAGAGCCACAAGTGGTTTGAAATGTTTACATTTCATATCTAGATTTCACAGACACTTGTGTATCTTGGATTAAAAAACAAATGATGCCAGAATATATGACCAGGAAGCTAAGTAGATCTATGAATCCTTTTTCTAGATGTACAGGCTTTACCATAGCTCTGTCTCATTTTTGCTAATAGCTGAATTGTTTTTTCTTCCACACTTTGAAGCACAATGCATCAACCCAGGGGTTTTTAGCTGTGAGGCAGTGGAAAAATCCTTCCATGACACCAGTGTATATCATAACTTTGGGCTTAAATGGGAAAGAAGATCCCCAAAATCCCAAAATAAATCCCCCTGCCAGTCGGTTGTGGACATTTTTCCACTGCATTTAACAGCTTTGGACTCGAGGAGAGCAGAAATCATCACGTCCTTCGTGATGTGTGTGTCACATCTCTCTGGATACGGGATATTTCTTTAGACCCATCTGTCAAAAGGATGGAGTTTGCATTATTAAGACAATTTACGGGATCTGAGGTAGGGCAAAGCCTTTGTCAGGTTCATCTTATAAAAAAAGTTGATAGGCCCCATCCTGCTCAGGGCCCCCTTCACCCCCCATTGGGGCACTCTTCTTCCCTTTAAAACGTTTAGCAGAGATCTTGCCTGAATGCCGGTGGTGTTTACTTCCCGTACGTGAGCGGAGAAGAGAGAAGTGTTGAGTGTTTTAAACAAAAGTGGAGTGGGAAGCCTGCGTAGGAGAGAACGAGCTGCAGCTTTCCATTTTTAGCTGCTGTCTCTGGGATCCAGAAGCTCTGCTGGTCAGCCGGAGACAAAAACCGGCCTCAGACCTCCTTTTTTTTCGCAGGTGGAATAAAACATGCCTGAAGTGCCGCAGTAATTGCTCATAGCCCTTTTTATCCTGTCAATAATGAATCATAAAGACCCGCTGCTGCCGCTTAGCAACAGCTAAAAAAGGAAAAGACGGAAAGAAGTGGTTTCTGTCTTTTTATTTAAAGAAAAGACCATTAACGCGCATCATTTGGGAGGAAAAGGGACGGGGAGGAATCTGTCTCCAGGAGTCAGCGTCTTTAACCCTTTAAAGCCTGATCCAAGAAAAATAGGAAGAATATTGGATTTTTTTAGTCTGAAGTCTTTCTTTGGCCCCTCAACAACATATGAAGAAAAAAAACTGAAATTATTTTGATCAAATTAGCGTGCAATAAGTAAAAAATCTATGTTGGTGTAGTCTTCTACTGGCTGTTATCAGGTATATCTGAATGTGTACAACAGGGGTTTGAGCAAAGCTTTTACCACTGAATGATGCAGAAAGTCTCAGACCCAAAAGACTTAAAAAACCATATCAAATATGACACATGAGGCATTATAGGGTTAAGCACATTTAGATCAGGACACAGTTGTATTTATTTGCATAATTCACTGTTATTGGGATAAAATAGGCTTTCTAATGACTTCAGATGTCTGTTTTGCCTCCATCAGGGTTCATCTAACCTCAGCAGCCATTGTTGTGATCATTAACTGGCAAGCTCAGGGAATAATGGTTGAGGGGAGAGTGATAGAAGGAGCATTTTAAGTTTTTTTTTGTTTTTTGAAGAAGTGCCTGCTTGATTAAAAGTCACTTAAGTTCCTTTGCTGCTGTCCTAAAGGAAATGACCTCACTGAGTAAATAGTTGGCAGCCATATATGGGGCTCAAAGTCCCCACGAATGAGTGCACTTTCCCCCCCTTTGGTTTGCAGCCTTATCTCCATTATGGCGCCCCCCCCCCTCCATTCTGCCAAACACAGGGCAGGTATTTCTACCGTATCTCCAGCCCACCGTCCTGATCCAGGCCTGGGGAATAAAACTCGGAGCATCTCTGGTCTAGGGTTGTCACGATACTATCATTTTCAACTCGATACCGATACTCAGGAAAATACTCGATACTCGATATCATTTTCGATACCACAAGGATAAAAACAAAGACCCCAAAATTTAACTGAATTGTGTCTTTCATTTCAAACTGACCTGTTACTGATGTTATCGTGACTGGTGGCCCACATTAATGACCCTAACCCTAACCCTAACCCTAACCCTCTAGCCTTCATAATAGTGAAATATAAACATTTTTGGGTTAAACTTGTTTGGACTTATTGTACAAACCTATTTAACATCCACTATTTTAACATAATATTATGGATAGAGTTTAATTAAGTGTTTGAAAGCTTCATTTAACTATTTTTAAATTAATGTCTATGTGGGGGGAGTTAGATATGTACTTGATTAATCGTAGCATGTTATTATTAGCCATTAGCCGCAGCTAGCAAGGCTAACGTCTTGTTAATGATCATAAACAACCTAAATAAATACATAAATAAATCAGAGAGAAGGGGCGCGGTGATATCAATACTTTTGAAAATGAATATCCTATCCGGATACAACATTTTAGCATCAATACTTTTTCGAGTATCAATACTTTTGACAACCCTACTCTGGTGCCACCTCGATGCCCGGCTCTTTCCCGTATCTGATCCTGGATCGAGGCGGTGGTTTGGTGATGGGGATAACCCGACCTGAGGCTTTTCCACTCCTCTGGAGAGTGGAGCTGCAGTAC